TGAATTGCTTGCGCACGCCCATAGCTCAATTCCGTATGTCCAGAATGGGATAATTATTGTTTAGTATAAAAGGAATTTGTTTAATTGCACATATTTGAACTCCTGCCAATTAGCCATACAACTCTTTAAACTTCTTCCACACCTGTTTACTTTTCATTTTGATGTGATGTGCTTAACTTTTTATCGAGATGAATCCAAGGTATTTTACGCTTTCATATTTTGGTATTTCTATGTGTTTATTTTTATGCTTGGGCAGTCCAGGGTTCTTGTTGTGAAGGTTATATGGCTAGATTTGTTTCATTTATTTAATCATCTACTTATTGAGCCCTTTCAATTAGCCGACTCTTTGAACATTTGCCGTTGCAACGGATGCACTTGTATGAGTTCCCATGACAACTGTATCATTGGCAAAAGTTCCAATATATTATATTACTATCAGTTGGAATGTCGTGTATGTATATGAGATACAATAGTGGCCCTAAAACACTCCCTTGTGGAACACCCGACTTGATGATACATAATTCTGATGTTTCTATATTCCAACTCTAATTCTGAATAATCTGTTTGTTAAGTAACTTTTCAATAGTATAAATATCTTGTGCGGCAAAGAATTTTTTATTTTGATGAGTAGGCCCTCGTGCCATACTTTATCGAATGCCTGTTTGATATCGATAAAGATGGCTGAACATTTTTCTTTTCTTTCTATTGCCTTTTGGATACTATTTACTATCCTATGTCATTGTTGTATTGTGGAGTGATGGGTTGTAATCGTTAAATAAAACTCAATTAATTTGACTTGACTATTCAAATATTAAGCTCTTAAGTTTTCATAATCGTGTTTTTATTTCCTAATTTTTTTTCATTTACTTTGTATGGATATCACAAAATATCACAAAAGCAAGTGAAGCCATACTTTATGTGACAAGTCTTAGCATTTTATTTTATAAATAAATGCTTTATATCATATCAACTCGGAATACTTCTAATCACTCATAATTAAATTATTTTTATTGATTAAGTCGATTAATTACACATATCGGAAGTTCATGTAACTTGCCTCAAGGCTAAATACCAAACCAACTAGTTTAAAAAAAATGCCTTAAATCATTACCTTCTAACACTTCAACAATAAATTTTGACCACATTATATTATATTTCTAGAAATAATGACGTTGCCATCATGTTGAAATAATATCGTATTATAAAGTTATTCTGTGTACGATATAACAAGTTTCGTAATTACAACATGCTATAGAGATCTACAGCACACACACACGATGCAAGGCGTACATTCATGCATTGTGTCCAGAGTACTGTATCCGATATCAATACAAGATACAAAGTCGTATTCGTTTCGCGGACATCGAATTCCAATGTATCGGCTTACCGTGGTACGCTATCAGTGTGCTCCAACAGCACAATACCCTCATCAGAAAGGAGACGGATGGACGAGCGGCGACGATGCCTGGTCGCTCGCTGGCTCGTCTTTATCTGAACTAGCTGACTGGAAGCTGATAGAACGATCGCTGGTTAAAGTTTATTCAACAATATAAAGTATAATAGAATTTTTATCACTATTAAAATTATGTTAAATCAACATAATTCATTTTCTATCACTGAAATATAAATTACCATGGTAATATTATGAAAATCGACCTGCAAATAAAGGGTAGGCGCGACACAAAGTCCTACTTGATTTTCAGCAATTCAGTATATATACTGTCTAAACCAGCGATGGACTACATTACAAGACATAACACGTATCAAATAAGCAATTATCGAATTATGTTCAATATAATTTTCAGTTAAATAATAATAATAATAATAAATGGTGGTCTGCCCAAAGACAGGTCCATGGTGTTAGAGCCACCACAACAAATGATTTCCTTGCCCTACATCCTATAACCTATTTATTTATTACAGTTAAATACCAATTATTAAGGTGACCATATTTTTTCCCATCCGGGACGGATTAGAATGTGTGTGAGAACGGGGGGAGGGGGGAGAGAGGTTCGTGTTGGTGAGCTATAAACTTATACGCACATTTTTTCGGTTCTAATTTTCTATTGAAATATATTCAAAAAAATATTGGCAATCAAAACATTTTTAAAAATCCGGGGCAATCCGGGGCAAAAACACCTAAAATCGGGACAAATATTGCTTATAGAAAAAGCCGGGACGCAAGACGGAAAATCGAGACTGTCCCGGCCAATCCGGGACAAATGGTCACCTTACAATTATAGAAATATACATTATTACTATTTTTCGAAAATTTTGTCATCTGTTTCTTTTCACCCCAAGGCGGTAAAATAGGACAGCCATAGAGCAAACTGATCCAATGCTTTATATTTAATTTTAAATCATTTTACGGAATAATAGCTACATTATTCAATCAATGCAAAATACAAATTTAATGGGCATATTTTTTACAGACATCTCACTAAATACAACCTTAATCTGGTATTCTGTCAAAAATATTCATCATCAGAGTTGGAATAACTACTAAATTAATTTATCTCTTGTACATTCCCCATTTGGAACCTTATTTACTTTTTTACAATTTCTTTTATTGTTAGCATGTGTCCTTATATAAAAACACTGAACCTAAAAATAGCAAAACATCTTATAAAGCAATTAATTAAGTATACTTAAAAAGAGCTTAAAATAAAAAAAAACTAGCAACAAAAAAATAATTTTGTTATGAGTTTTGATAAATGGCGGTTTGTCTGCTGAGAGCGATATCGTAAGAATATTTTTCTACTTTAAAATACAACTGTTAAATTATTGCATATTTATATTCTATGTTGGTATATACTTTAAAACGACTACAAAACCTTTTATTTCGCATTTTGCCTTAATAAAGTTAAAGTTTGCTTTACTTGTTTAATGTTCTTCCAAAAAATGTCACAATTGTACCCACAAAATTTTTTACAACCGTGCCGAATGAACATTTTCGAAAATAAGTCATCGTTATGACTGACAATGAGTTAGATAATTTATTTGTTGAACCAGTATACCAGCAAAATGATCAATTTGTATAAAAGTACCAGTTATTACTAAAAGAAATCAACATGGAAACTTATGTTTGTCTGTTTAAAAGCAATGCGGTGTACAGAAAATGTTAATTTAAGGCGTTGACTCATTGCAATAATGGAAGCTCGGTCGAACAAACTTACTTCTTCTTTCTCTTTTTGGACACTATCTCAAAATCAGTACAGTTTAGTAGTTATTATCACTAAGTTCTCAAAGATTGTATATATATATTATGATTGTATGTATATTATCAAAGATTGTACAGCAGGAAGTTTGCTTTATATTTATAACTATATTAATTTTAGTTAATTTTTAAATGATGATTCCATCCGAATTTACAATGAGATACATAGAATATCTCTATTAATCTTATCCTATATGTAGTAGATTTTGATAAAATGTTTAATTTATTAAGTTATTTCATTCTGTAGCAAATTGTCCTCCAGCTTGATATCATTTTACCACCGAAGCATCGGACGGTTGCACAATGCCGGATACACAATGGCCGGTTATGACGCGCGATTGTTGCGACCTATGTCTGCTTCGCCTGCAAAAATATAATAGTTATTGTTGAAAAGTTTACAGAGTTGTTTCTGCTGCAC